CATGCTTTGCGAGCTCTGCCAAGTCATGTGAGCCGAACGACCCTGCGTGAGCAGTCGATTCTTGGGCCGATTAGGACAAGCTGCACTGTCTGTAACTCTACCACCAAGTCACCAGGTGAATTGCACAGACAGGCCGTGACCTTGAATGCCAAGATCTTGCAAGGCATGAAGGCTTTAAGCCAGCTACGCCTGGTTGAAGCCCTCTTCATCCTGCAGCTCCGCGGAAGAAATGAAGTTACATCGGGATTTCACACCGGGCCGCCGATGCAAGGAAGTGCCAGGTGCTGACTCTCGATGTGTGACACACAAGCTCAGTTCGATAGCACAAGGTGGTTCGCGCTTCACCGATCTGCCATTTATCTCCGGTAGCTGATTCCCATCCTCACGGCATGCAACCCGAGCTGCGGATACGTCCTTCAGCCTCCACCTCAGTCCACAAGCGAGCAAGCGATCGCCCAACTCGGTCCTCCACTGCTTTGATGCCGGCCTTAGTGGAAGCTTGGACAGCTGGTTGCAAGTGCGTGCAGCAGCGGATCTCCCAGTTCAACTTCTGCTCTACAGTACTTTGCCAAAAGTCGGCCAGCCGCATTGACTCTAAGAAGCCACCGTCGCGCGTGAGGTTTGAGTCTGGCTCTGCACCCGCGATGCTGTTGATACAGGCTACGTCTACGTCCTACGTGTGCGCGGCTGCGCGTGACTGAGAAACTGCATCAGTACAGAAATAAGGGTTCACATGTGCCCATCTCGCTGTGCATTTTCTGTGCGTCCATCCATCCGTGTGTTGGTCTGTCTGTGTCCATGTTTCTGCGTGTCGGCGTGGGGTGGTTCTGCATATCCGCTAGAGCTGTGGGGATGGGGCCTACTTGGGTTGGTGCATGTTTGTGCTGCAGGCAAGGTCGAAAATGTACACTTGGATTCCCATACATGCAACACACACCCGTGTGTTTGCAAGCAAGACACGTCCAGATTCACAGTGAGACCTACAGAGGACACAAAAAACACAACTACGGCGGATGCTGAATCATCGCGTCCAACTGTGGTTCCAAATTGTCCGGTGGCTTTGGCTGCAATATCTCGGCATTCCTCCAACTGCATCTGTTCAGTTGTCTGGCTGTAGCCCTCAGGCCCGACCACACATGCTCGCATCCCGCGGTGCATCGATGCAACTCTGTGTCAAAACGCAATTGGACTCTTGCCAGGGCCATGAGCTTCTCGACTTGGGTTGAGTACTCAACTAAGCTTGTGTTTGACACTCAGGCCCCAGGTTGAGTAACATCAAGGGCGTGCAGCTGTTCTGAAGTATTCCGCCTCTTGGGCGCCCACGAAGGTTATAATCAAGACATCGGATTTTGTAAATACTGCCGTTGTTATGTTCCAAAATCGTATTTTATAGGTTGTTACGGTAGAATATGTAAAACGTGCGTTAGATGTCGGGAAAAACATTTAACGGGTAATATATATGGGAAAACTTCTAAACATTTACCAGAACAAAATGAGCATACAAAAAGTAGCTGAAAAGTGCGATTATTATGTTACAGGTATTGATTTCCATTGTTGGACAAGTTTAGGATGGGAAGAAATATTATTGACGTAGGAGCCAGAAACATTCAAATTTATTTGGGCACAGATTGACTTAAGAAAACCAGAGAATGAAACACA